GTACACATTATTTACTGTGACACAAGCGGTTGCATGGTGATAGTAACGAGCTATCTCTATTTTCTTAGATACAGGGTATGTTCTTATTCTCTTGAAGCCTATTTTTTTTTTTTTGGTTTTTTTTGGTTTTAAATAAATCATTATTTTTCATGGTAATTTGTCTATATTCTTATTTTAAACTTTCCTTTTCAAGACGACAAGTATCAATGAGGGATAATTATTAGGACGCAGTTATTAATTTTGATGATCAATAATAAAGATTTATTTTTATGACAAACATATGAAATGTAAGCATTAGACATATCTAAATACGGCATGTAAGTCACGTAATAGGTCAAAAATATATGGAATAAAATAGGACACATTCAATACCAGACAAAACCTTATAGATCTGCTCCCTGAAAAAAGGAACCTATTTTGCCTCATGGTTAAACGACAAAATTCGTTTTACAATTATACCATCCATAGTCTCATTATCAAAAAAAAAGGCCTGTACTCTCCGCATGGTACAACCTATCTCAGTCTATATAATGAGTAATGTCGGTATAGTGTGGAATATTCTGGTATTCTAGCGTTCATTTCTTGCTTAGATAACATATTACTGTCATTGAATATATTTACTTAAATTGCATACGTCTTCTGTCCGTTATTTGTACCACATGAGTATTTATCTAGGCAGGGTAAATGTTCTATTAATTTTGAGTAAAATATAAACTTAGGTCGAAAATATAGACATCTTTACCCTTTCCAATAACCTGCGGCAGTCAAGCCTCCCGGTAAGAGTGTGGACGTACTAATTTAATTAATAAAGACAAGTACCCTAAAACCTAAAAATCATCTGACACTTCTCATTTATCTTAACAGGATAAGCATTTATATATGACAATTAAATCGGACATTTGAGTTAAAAAGCAAGTAAACCGAGCCTCCAATACTAACATCGGCCAAGACATTAACGAATGTGGGTATTTATCCGTCTGTGGATGGTTAAGAGCCCATTCACAAAAATAAGCTGGCGTGGTTTAAAATTTTGAATGGGGCCTTTGTTTATTAGCAAAGGTCAAAACATTTTCTTCCATTTTTCTCCAAGTGCTCATCCAAGCTCATTCATATTGAAATAATAAAACAAGAAATAGAATCTTGGTATGTCACCTTCTTTACATTAGATGAATGTTATACCATTTTCAGCAATCTCACAATTGTGACAATGACTGCAATGTTACTAACAACTTTCTTCTCATTTTTACTTGCGTAGTGTACAAACGTTGAAATACTAGAGCTACACGAAGCGTAGAAACGTCTTACTTTATCAAATTTGTATTCAAAAAAAATACGGTCTTTCCATGTACCAGTTAGTCATATGTGAAATCTTACCAGATCTTATTATAGCATTGTTAATTTGGCTTTGAGAAGAAAGCTAAAACATACATTGTCCTTTGGTGATTCAAGTAAAAAAAAACGTGGCTATTACCACGTTTATTAATGTACTTTGATTTCTTTTCTTTAAAGAACCTAGTGGAGTATAGGTGAGAATTTTGACTAAGAGTGCTACCGCTGTGGAAATATTTCAGATTTATATAAATTGGACCAATTGGCTCCGGTAAAGTATAAAATTGTTTTTACTATTATTTTAAGAATCTGAAAAAAGATTCGTTACTCAAGAAATCTTTAGAAAAAAGAAAATCATCGTCATCACTGCTACTTAACATAAGGTTTTGATACCAAGTCTCCAATAGGTGACCAAAATCCACATTCCAGCAGGATGATCCACGAAGTCAGATAAATGTAAATCGTGTTTGTATTTCACATCAGGTAAAAGAGCCGTTCATTCCATGATACTGTTGGTATTTCTACCCCCAGTGACTTTCGATCTTTTTTTTTTATAAATTTCTGTTAAAGTATGTAGTGGTGCAATACAAAATCCTTAAATTATATAACTAAACTAACTCATTTCAAAAATTTGACAGAAACACAAGGAAGAACAGAACAGTGGTTTGATTGGTCCATGTTGAAAGTGTAATTACAGAGAGATATCGGTTTTCAATTACCAACTTGTCAGGTTTTCTTTTGTGAGGCGTGAGTAATGTGCCAAAAATTAGGAATAATTACTTTACTGACCTTTTGAACTCCAACTAGTGTCTATTGGCTGATACTGCAGCAGGAGGTCTTACAATATCATAATACGTCTTGTACTTTTCTTCATCCGCCAAGTGTTCATCGTGATGTCTCACTTTATTTTGATAAATGGCTTTTTGCAACAGAAAAAGAAATGATTTTATGCAGGACAGAAGCAACATTATCATATAGTGTGATCTCCTCCGAAAGGTAGCCATGCAAAAGGAGGTTTGCGTTCGATATATTACGGTCGTCTTACACCCACCCAGCAATATCTGGTAGACTATGCAGTTCTCGTGGCTATCACGGATCAATGGCTGTAAAATTTGGCTACGGTACATAGTTTTATAGTTGTATTGGTTAAAACCTACTGATATCTCGAAATCAACTGAGGATTTCAATTCAAGTTCTGCCCATCTTTGTTGTAAAGATAGTGTCGCTGTACTTGCAATAGTATTATTGAATACGGGCACCGAGAAAATAGCAATTGCTGGTGTAGGAGAGGTTTTCGGTGTAGCGGTAAAAAATGCAGGAATATCCGTGAGTCTCATTTCTTAATTTATGAAAGGGGTGGGTTATTAAAATGTCCTTCCAAGTCATTTTGTGTAGTTCATAGGCGCGATTTTGCTCGACTAGATATTCCTTATTACATTAAATTATCGGGAATGTTTTTAACCAAAGACACGTTTTCAGTCGTAAAACGTTTCATCATAATTCTTTGTTTTTGGACGGTGAAAAGATAATCGCTTGTTTTCTTTATAAAGATGGGCTAAGACTGGTTACGAAATCATATTTTGTGGCTGTGCTGGTTTGACATACAAAGGTTTTATATTATGAATGTTGGAAGTAGGAAAACTTTAAACATGTTCAGAAACTCTCATCGTGATGGTAAAAATGAAATTGGACAGCATGCAAGAGTTACAGCAGTTAATTTTGTAAGTGTATAAATATAGCGCTCTTTTTCTCTCTCTCTTATGTTAACCGGTATTTAGTGAATGTAAAGTGTGTAGCCGGGGAAAACTTGAACAGATTGTTCCCACATGCCACTATAGGCCTGTAAGGCGTTACTAATCTAAAACGACAGGTAATAGGCTTTAATTCATGCCGTGGATTATACGTAAACTAAATCAAACTCTTTTATGTTATAGTAAAACTACCGCTTCTGAAGGAAAAGAATTGGAGGCTTCTTTTAGTATGTGATTCGGTGGCTAATAGGACAGGTACTACTAAGGAAGCAAAAGGGCCTGGTTTTTCATTAGCTGCGCTTTTTGAATGGCGACGTCAATCGATGGCTCTTTTGAATTACTCTCTATAAATAAGGGCTAATAACTAGACAGCCGCCTGTTACTGACTAGAGTTAGTACTGTACTGGCCGTTTCTCTATTTCGCTCAAGAAGAAAAAGATGATCCATATTTTAAAATTTAATTGGCTCTATTATGGTGACATTTAGTCCATATTTGGCTTGACTCACTCTTTATTCATAACGACTTATGTCTGAAAATCTACGTACTGTCAATGGAATTATGCACTGCAATGGGTTTGTCTCTTATGCTCTCAAGAAAAATAATCTTTATTTTCATTCTTTACACTTTCTCAATGGCGACATGGGATAAAGGAATTTCAGGAATCACTCTCTATAGATAACAGCGTGCACGTGGAAGGATGCTTGTTCTTGACTACTGGCATATGTGATACCATTGCGGTGTCTGTTGCTCGCTTAAGAAAGAATTATTTTCGATTCTATTCCGTAATGACGACATCAGGAAATGACTCTGCTGAAATCACTCCCTAAAAGAAACGGGTTATGTCTGGTGGCCCGCTTGTCACGAGCTAAAGGTTGCACTGCACAGCTGGTATCTCTTATGAGCTCAAGAAAAAAAAAACTTCTTTTTTTTTATTTGCTTTCTTAATGTTAACCCCAAATCAGGTCCCAATGGAAATCACGCCTCATATGTCTGGAATTTGCTTTATTACTGATTGAAGTTTGTACTGCACTGTATGAACTCTGTATAAATTCAAAAAAATAAATATCTGTTTTTATATTTATTTCGCTTTCTTAAAGTCCACATCAAGCCAAGCATGAGCGGTTATCACTCTTTATGAATAACCGCAAATGTGTCGAAGCTTGCTTCCTCCTGAATGGAGTGTGCTCTGCAATTGCCGTGTCAAGAAGAACATATTCACTTTTTATTGATTCATTCGATTTTTTCTCTTGGCGATATTAAGTTTACCTTTTGCTGGTATTATTCAAAAATGTGCTTAATTAATGTCTCTAAATGATATTGGTTTTTTTCTGTTTATATTAATTAGGTGTCTGAAACATTTTTCAAATTGGTGCGATGAAATTGGATCATCAAATACTGGCGCTGTCGTTTGGGAAGTAAACAACGTATATATTTCTAATGGCCGAAGGGGCAATGATTCGTTTCATAATTTATAACCGTTTGGTTATGTCACATTTAAGAATTTAGTATGACTGCATTTTGCTTCAGAAGTTCGTTTACGAAGATGAATATACTTCATTACTTCGTACCTATAGAAAACACACACCGTCAAAAGCATTACGAAGAAAAAACAAGATGTATCAACTAATTTAGTATATTGATTCCGTGTATTTTTTTTATTTGAGGACAGACGGTGGTAGGGTAATGTCCTGAAAAAAAAGTTTGTACTGGTATGCTTGGAACTAACTTGAAAAAATTATAGAACAAGAAAAAGAAGAGGTAATGATTAATCCTCTGTTCGATCGAATTTCCTGCTCATGTGTCGTATTTAAATTGTGTAGAATCTCGAATGTGTGTCATGCAGCCTGCGACAAGTATATAATAATACGTAACAACTTTTGTTTTCCCGCAGTGTTAAAGATAATAGCCGAAACATGCCTGAAAATAGTGGATCCTGGTTTTTGAGAGTGTTCTACAAGAAAAATTTGGTGGAGGAGATTCTAGTAACATACAGAAAAAAGTAATGGTGATTGCTGTTAGTATTTAGCGGTTTGCTGATCCCATTATTTATTTTATTAAGACTTTAGATAAGATGTTGTTTGTGATTAAATGACGACGAATGTTATTATTGTGCATGTTCTCGGTATATATATTTGGCTGTGATGTTTGAGGAATTATTGTATTTTGATGATGTACGCTGCCGCCTTATACTTATCTGCAAAAATTGGTTGATATTTACTTGATTGTATGGACTGCCCGGATGTGGTTATTGAAACAGTGAAGCCATGTCGATCTTTATTCTTACAAGTTTCGGAAGAAAAATAAAGCTACCGGCATACAGCAAAGGAAATATTCCCTAAAGTTATCGTCATTATATTAGCTTTGTAAGAATCTACATCAAATAACATAAATCTTGAATGCGATCTTTCAATTATATTGAGGCACCTATAGCAAGATCTCAAAGGTAGATCACCAATGCCAGTATATCAATGATAAAATTGCAATTTTAATTAGACTTTATAATTTCTACATTCTGGGTTATATCTAACACAAAAACACTTTAATTATGCTGGTAAGACAGTTGGATATTCCTGCTTGGGTCCTTTAGGGTGTTTTTTATGCGAGTTGCAATCATTAAAATATGTGGTTTGAAGTTCTACGCTCATGTTTTCAGAAGGCGTGTGATGTTGAACACAAATTTAAACCCACAAATGGGTAATATAAACGTTAGAAGATTAAACTGATATTCTTAAGTGATATTGAAGTAAATTAATTATCATTATCGCGGCCAAAACATAAAAAGTCGCGATAAGTATCCTTACTAAACAACAAGGATCTTTGAAGCAGATATAAAGTTAAGTGTACATCGTCGATAGAGTTAGTATTGAAAATTAGGATAAATGTTTTTTGAATAAAAAACGCTATATATATTACATTTATTCTTATCAAAACCCTTAAAACATGAAAAAGTACTTTTAATGTGCTAATGGAACCGGTCAAAAATAATAATTTCTGAACCAATAATACAAAACATTATGGTTTAAAATCATGGAATACTAGCGAATAAACTTTCATGACGGAGTTCACAATTCCTATGTATCGACTATGTTTTAGGATCTTAATTGATCCATAGATGGTAGATATGCGTATTGGACTCCATAATCATATATTATTTTTGACTATAGATGTAAAATGGTTTTCAACTATATACAAGAATACAGATTCATTGCGTGATTGGTTAATTATAGACTGCCAATATGTTCATTCTTAATTAGTAGAATTTGTTTGCATTATGGGTTTTTTGATCAGTATAATTCGGTAGTGGAATTCCCCCTTCCATCCAAATTTCCTGTCCCCATTCGAGTTAAAACAACCCGCACCAGCCGTAGCAGTTTAATCCATGACATTTTTGTGACTGGATTTTCGCTCAGCCAGTGACTGCATTTTAGCTGTTTTAATAGGGTCGGACCTCATCCGTTTTTCTAAAAATAAGATGAGGTCCGACGGTAATAATACGGGATATGTGACAAAAAATCTGATTTCCGACGCTAATAAAACGTGATATGGGAAAAAATGGATGAGATCCGACCCTAACCATAACGCTTGTCCAAGACAAAACATAGTTCCTACGGACAGCCCGCCTTCTCTATCGTTATATGGACAATGCTGAGCCAGAAATATTTAAAGACAGCCTAGATTTTATAAGGTACTAACTTTAAATCGGGATATTTACGCAAATGCTTATCCGTTGCAATGACTTTTTTCTTCAACACATACTGGCATTGTTGTATAATTAAAGGTTTTATGAAAATCTATCAAAGAATATGGCTAAATCTACATCTGTAATGAACGTTTTGTGAAAACACAACAGCGTACGACTTGGTTGCCGAACACGCTCAGCTGATATTATACACATGCAAATGTAAAATTATTTAAATGACCATAAAACCAAGCAATAGAAAAAGGTATCTTTTTTTCCTTTCTATTTTCTTGCTTTTTTTTATTTCTTTTTTTTGGACTTTTTTTTTCTCTTTTCTTTGCACTTTTTCTTTCTCTTTTTTTTTCATTTTTCATTTTTCATTTTTGTTCTAAATTTCTTTTTTCTTTCGTTTTCTATCTTTAAATTTAATTGATATGACCCGTTTAGTAGTGTTCAAGAACGTGATTCTTTTTATTTCATTTCCGATGTTGCACATAACCTCTCTTATGATACGTTTTATCGTCATGATCCGCCTAAGTTTCATTTGTATATAATCATGCATAATGTCTCCGACCATTATTGAAACCCGCCTAGCCTATTGGGCTTACTGCACCTGTTCCCAGTTCTCCGGCACCTTTCAGACATGTCACTGTCAAACATCACTATTGTATTCTGTCTAACGTCTCTGCTCCAATTAATGTATATCGTTAATCCCATATCTTTGTAAAACCCATTTTACGTCCGTTTCATTTTTACCTCAGCCTTGGAACTCCCTTGTAAGACATTAATATTATCTGCCATGTTATCCTCTGTGTATACCTTCGAAATTATACGTGTCTCTGCTCACTACCACAAATATGTCTCAAAAAAACATGAATAATAATCTGTCTCTGTAAATCTGATCCCGAACCCTTGTTTACTCGCTCTGTCAATTAATAACAATAACCGCTTGTTTGTTTATACTTATTTCTCTATTCAAAATCTTATCTATTTTTGCTGTCCTTCGTGAATAAACCTTTTGTTACTTTTATTCCTTTTTACATTCATATTAGTAATAATACGTATATAATTTCTGTCTACCTGTTTTCACCTAAATAATCATTCTGTTCTGCCTGTGCACCGCGCCACTCCTGACATCCCTTCAGGAAAAAGCAAGCTTCCACACATGTGCATTTATCTAGAGACGGATTCCAGCAAAGTCTTGGCTTGATGTCGCCATTAAGAAAGTGTAATGAATAAAAACAAGCTCTTTATTCTTGAGTGCATATGTACCGCTTCGAAGGCAGTACAAACTTCAATTATTAATAAAAAAGCTTGCAAACATATAAGGCCTTTCGTAAAGAGTGATTCCTAACGAGGCATGACTTGACGTTGCCATCAATAAACTAAAGCGAATAAATAAAGTTCTTTTTTTGTTTAGCACATAAGAGATAAACGCTGAGCCATACATATTACATTTCGCAACACACAGGCTACTAGACATAAAGCGTAATTAATAGAGAGTGAATCCATCTGAGCCTTGACCAGATGTCGTCATTTAGAAATTGAAGCGAAGAAAAAGATCGTTTTTTTCCAAAGCGCCCACCAAAGACCGCAATGATATCACACACTTCAGTCAGGGAAAAGCAAGCTTTCACAGCCACGCCATTATTCATAGAGAGACATTCCTGCAGATTCTTCACTTGATGTCGCCAAGAATGAAGTGAAATGAATACAAAAAAAAAAGATTTTTTTTCTTGAGCGAATAAGAGACGCCACTAGCACTGTAATTATTCCAGTCAGCAAAAAGCGGTTTCCCAGACTGTAGACTTTATTTACAAGCAGTGAATTCAATAGAGCCATGAGCGAATGTTGCCATTAAAAAACCGAACATTATAAAAAAGAAGGCCATTTCGTTTCCTTTCAAATTGGCCATCGAATTACATATTAAGAAGCATCCTAAATTTTTCTTTAGAAATGGTAGCTTTGCTATTACATACCAATTATGCTTTTACATAAATATAATATACGTCAAGGTTTAAAGGATATTGCCGGTAATTTTGGATAAATAACGTGTTGCATAACTATGGTGGTAGGTATGAAAACATTTTTTGGAGTCTCTTCTGGGTTACGCATATGTCATCCAAAAATTAATAGCTACGATAAGACGCAACGAAAGAGAGCTAAATTTTCCTGCAAACAAATTAAGTGCTGAAACCATTGCATGCTGTCTAATTTGTTTCTTACCATCCTCATTGGAGCTTCTGCATGTGTTTAGAAATATCCTCCACCGAACATTTAAAATATACGGCTTTGTAAGTCCAATGGGGCACAACTTTAAAAATTACTAACTTATCATTTTTAGATCGTGTTTATAAAGAAAAACTGGTGAGTACTTCTTCACTCTCGAAAAAAAAAAGAATTATCATGAAACGTCTTATAGCTGGAAATGGTTTTTGGTTAAAACCTTCGCGATATGTTGATTCTGACAGCAATCTTTACCCTGTCTGTCAACGACATAAACGAATTACATGATCATTTCAATAGCATACCTTTTTCATATATTCCCAAATCAGACGCACTGTTACTCCTGAAATTCGCAACGCAGCACCAAAATCTACTCCTACACCAGCAGTTGCTATTTCGTTTGATCCAAAACTCAGTAACACTATTGTAGGTAGAGAGACACTCTCTAATTGTTAAAATTCGAAACACATGAAAGAAATGCTGCTGCTGCTAGTACTGGTTTTACAGCTGCTGCTGAACTGAGAACGTCAGTCGATTCCGAGTTGTCTGTAAATTTTTAATCCAACTATTTAAAAATCTATCAAGCATAACAGCAGTTCATTGGTACTTATTGGTAAAAACAGTAAGGCGTAAATAGCGTTAGAGATTTGTCTGGGTGGATGTTCGATTATAGCTATGTATCTACCGCCAACATCCTTTTGCATGATTACCTTTAGGAGGAGGATACACAATATGATAATATTGCTGTTAACATGCATAAGTTACTCGTTTTCCTGTCGACAAAAAAGCGGTTTATTTCTAAATTAGTGGGCCATCACTATCATTACTAAGTGGATGTAGAGAAGATATCTTGTGATATGGAGATACTTTTGGCTGATTTAGCAGCAAATAAATACTAGTTTCGCATGCAAAAATTCGGTAGTGTTATTACGCATAATTGTTGTTAATGTATGTACCGCTTATTAAATAAACACTTTACAAGTTGATATGCGAAAAGCCTATATCCTACTGTATTTACACATTAAGCAAGCGCAGACTTAACCATATCACATTTCTATTAAAACATTGTTTTGTTCTTCGTTGTGTCATAGATAAATATATGGAAAAAGAAATTAGACATTCATATTATTTCACGATTTTTGATTGAATTTCTACATATACATACATAAGCTTACAACAAAAAATGAGATCGAAAATCCCTGGTCGTAAAAATACCAACAGTATTATGGAACGAACGGTTCTTCATTTTTTCATGTAAAATACAAATGTACTTTCATACGATTTCATGCATCATCCTGCTAAATAATATTGATTTTGGTCACCTATTAGAGCCTTTTTATCAAAACTTTCTATTAAGGTGCAGTGCTATTGAGGACTGTCATATTTCGGAAGATCTCATGACTATCAGTCCTTTCGGAAAATACAAAAAAACAATGTGATACTTTATCGGAGTCTGTTCATCAAATACACTTAAATGTGGAATATATTTCACAGCACGGGACAAGCTTTAACATAATTCACGCGAATATTCCACTAGCGTCTTTGAATAAAGGCTATTAAAATCCATTGATAATGGTGATAATGAGCACTTTCTGTTGCTCTGGAATTGACAAAGCCAAGATAATGTATAGCTGTATTGTCAAACCCAAACTAGCTATGTTATAATAAGTTAGGGTCATATATTACATATGACTAACTGGTCCATGGGTAGACTGTATTTATTTTTCGAATACGTATTCCATAAAATAACAGGCTTTTAACCAGCACTGGAAGTCATAAAGAAACATCCGGCTGCTTTGTGAAGCTCTTTTATTCCAACTATTGTACCCTACGCAAGTAACGAAGAAAACAAAGTTGTTACTAACATTGCCGACATTGTCATAATTGTAGCATTGTTGAGAATGATGAAACACTTAGCGAAAGTAACGAAGGTGACATACCCAGGTTCTATTTCTTTTTTTAATTATTTCATCCTCTATAAGTTAAAATGAGGAATAGAAAAAAAACAAGAAACAATTCTAACTTTTTCTAATTAATAAGTGCCAGTTACAAAATGGGAAATCCCGACATCTCTTGTTTTTTAATGATCTCTTCAGCTTGTACAGACGAATATATACCGACATCGGTTAGGGAAATAGCCGAGGTTCATGTTGGAGGCTCGGTATAGTTGTGTTGTTAACGAAATGAGTAATTTAGAAGTCATAGAGAAATGCTTATCCTGCTAAGATAATTTTGATGTATGAGGCAAATTTTTAGATTTTAGGATACTGCGGTTATAATATTCTAATAAGTAATTTAACACTCATAGGCAGTTGCTTACCCACTACAGGTAGCTGGAATGGAGGAGATATACGTAAGGATTCGGATCTCAATTTCTACTTACACAATGTGGGGAAGTACTCCACCACAAATTTATCCTGATCTTCTTCAGGTAGATGAAACTGATGAGGGAATTATAGGTTTTATATCCGAACTTTTATTTACTCCATTGGGTAAGCCTTTCTCCACAGACAGATTTTCTATTGTTGTATCAGCTCAAAATAATAGCCACCAAGAAAGCAAAAGGCATGGGTTTTCTACTCATACACTCTGTTACTTTTCACTTTTAAGGTTAGATATTTTTTTCTATGTTACATCATAGCGTAATGTATGTTTATAAAGGAAGAAAGCCGAGTATTATAACACATACAAAGACTTACTTTGAGAAATGAAGGGTACACGCTAAAAAAAATTAGATTTGTATTTTTGAAATGCCCAAGTGAGAATCAAAAAGTCTCATAATTTTAATGTGGTTTGAATGACAATCGTACAGTTGAACAATAAGACGGAATCTAATCACTTATTTAGTTGTTCTTTGAGAACCTTGTTAGCCATTATTTGTCAAATGCGAGCTTGGTTTGACTTTATTTTCTTCTATCAATTTTACATTAACATATATTCAAATACGTAAAGTTATTTAACGTACATTTACTGGGTAATGATGTTTCATCATATGATGATGATATCATCACTGCAGTAAATACATGGCACCGGGTCTATGTTGAAAGAAGTATTTATATTTTCAGTTAATGCATACTCATTGTCTGAAGAATAAATTATCCCCGAGCAGTTCAGTTTAATTGAATGCAATAAAACTGAATTGAAATACAAAATACTGGTATGTTTTATCAGAAGTTATTAGGTATTACACGAAACCTCACCTGTTAACATCCTCAGGTTCCAGCCATGTTATTTCGTTTTCTTCACCATAAAATCAGACGAATTCTCTATAGTAGCTACAACCCCCATAGCATTATTGTCTTTATTTTATACGGAACTCCTGCAATTCATTAGCCACAGAGATTATCTTTGATGCGAAGCTTCAAAATTAGCTCTAAAACTTTACTGCCAGTCAAATGCTGGGCATTTAAAAGTTTAGATACAGTTAAATTTGTCTAGTCATGGTGAGAGTAAACAACATTCGGTCTTACTGTGCCACTTTTAAACCATGAGCTACATTAGAGATAAAAGGTATTCGATTATTCAATGTTTTTTATGACGGTGTTAAAATGACTGTTACAATTAGTTACATCATTGGGCGTAACGTACACGCTTCTCCAAAGATATTGCAGAGGTGAATAACGTTTGGTTTTTGGAGTAGCTGTTTTCTAGCCCATGTGTTACAGATTATAACCATGGGCAAAGTAATTTATAAAGATGGGCTTGAATTCATTAAGGAAAGGAAAAAAAGAAAAAAGGAAATAAAACCAGGGTGTGTGGATTTCTGCAAAAAATAAGATAGGTTATCCGACCATATTTTTGAATTGATTGATCTTTATCAAAATGTAATTTTTTCAACTTAAAGATATCGAGATATCTCAATACAATCCCATTCTTAAGGTGTTACTTTGGTAAAGACACCTTCAGAATCCATGATTCTACATCCTTTTAATGAGTGATGGGTAACACTGTTTGTTTGGGTAATAATTTGATTTTGATTTGGATAAAGCCGATGAGAGGATATGCTAATCGGATAATTAATATTGTTTTTCTATACTCTGCAAACACTTTGCATTTATAAACAAATCACAACCTAATGGTACTACTTTCGTCCAGATAGCTCTCAATTCAATGACTTTGCATGCGTATTTAAGTGGGGCATTTATCTGAGTTCCAAAAAAATCGATTTATCTAAAAAAAAAAAAATTGCACAAGTCCTTGGGACAGTAAAGTATTAATAGCTTTGGGTATATTAGTCCTAAAGATTTCAGTGGGAAAGAATCAGTATTGTTACCCATAATCTATATTTTATGTAAAATACAGGCTCATTGTTTCCAGGGGATCCGTTTTGTTGTTGTAATCTTGCATTTTCAAAAACTCAATCTTTGTTTTTTTTTTGTTTATTCTTCGACATTTCGCTTTTTTTTTTTTGTTTTTTTTTTTTTTTTTTTTTTTTTTTTGTCTACTGTACACAAGATTACCAATTTTTTGGTTCAATGTGTGGAATGTGATAGCTACAAACATACTCACGCCTATAGATGCCATGTAAATTTTTTATGATCTTTGATCTCATCATTCGAACAAGTTACATTCCTTACCATTTTTAAAAGCCACCGTCTAATTCTCATGCAAAAAGTTTTGGTAAGACTCCTATATTCGTATGTCTTCTAAATTCAATTAAATTAATATTAATCCTAGTTACTGTTCTCACTTTTGGTCTTCTTCTTTGCCATGGCTCACAGAATGGCCTACATTTCACATGACTCAGTCTTCACTTTACATTACCACCATTACCTTGTAGGCAAAGACGTTTTAGCTGCTTTTTGACCCTCCTGAATTTTTTCTTCTTCGGATGTAATATTAACTAGGTATAATATTGTCGATTTGTTTTTCGTTTTCTCTTATTATTCGTTAACCTTAACCGTTTAGGAAACACTACACGATATGTACGTTTGGATATAATGATTCAATAATTGACGCACAAACCATTTGTACTCTAACCCTGAAAATTATTAGTCGTTAATGTATCTTTGGCAGGACTAGGAGAATCATATTCCGACATGACCCAGTTACAGATATCAGGGTTGTCCATGATCGTATCAACTCATTTCGTAAGTTTGTATTTGAGAGTGAATATATCGGTACAAATTAGGACCACAAAAAATTGATGATTGTTCGACAACAGCCGGCGTAATCAAACAGCTATTCCCTCAACGAGTGATACCATCATGGATTCACGTAAAGTGTTTGAAAAGGAAATAAGGTAAGGGTCAGGACGACAATATCAATCCGTGGACATTTAAAATTAATGGATGAATGGTTAAAATCAATGGATGTATGCTTAAAAGCAATGGATGGATACTCAATATCAATGCATCCATGCTTCAAATTAATTTTTACACATTATTTACTGTCACACAAACGGTTGCATGGTGATAGTAACGAGCTATCTCTATTTGCTTAGATACAGGGTATGTTCTTATTCTCTTGAAGCCATTTTTTTTCTTTTTTTTTTGTTTTAAATATATCATTTTTTCATGGTAATCTGTCCAATATTCTTATTTTAAACTTGCTTTCAAGACGAAAAGTATAAATTGAGGGAATTATTAGGACGCAGTTATTAATTTTGATGATCAATAATAAAGATTTATTTTTATTAACAAATATATGAAATGTAAGCATTAGACATATCTAAATACGGCATATAACTCACGGTATAGGTAAAAGACTATATGGAATAAAATAGGACACATTCAATACCAGACAAAACATTATAGATATGCTCCCTGAAAAAAGGAACCTATTATGCCTCATGGTTAAACCACAAGATTCGTTTTAAGATTATACCACGCATAGTCTAATTATCTAAAAAAAAAGGCATGTATTCTCCGCATGGTACAACCTATCTCAGTCTATATAATGAATAATGTCGGTACATTCTGGAATATTCCGGTATTCTAGCGTTCATTTCTTGCTTAGATAACAGACTACTGTAATTGCATATATTTATTTAAATTGCATACCTCTTCTGTCCGTTATTTATGCCACATGAGTATTTATCTAGGCAGGGTAAATGGTATATTAATTTTGAGTAAAATATAAACTTAGGTCAAAAATATAGACATCTATGCCCTTTCCACTCACCTGCGGCAGTCAAGCCTCCCGGTAAGAGTGTGGACGTACTGATTTAATTAATAAGGACGAGCACCCTAAAACCTAAAAATCATCCCACCCTTCTCATTTATCTTAACAGGTTAAGCATTTATATATGACAATTAAATCGGACGTTTGAGTTAAAAAGCAAGCAAACCGAGCCTCCAACACTAACATCGGCCTTGACATTAACTAATGTGGGTATTTATCCGGCTATGGATGGTTAAGAGCTCATTCACAAAAATAAGCTGGCGTGGTTTAAAATTTTGAATCGGGCCTTTATTAATTTGCAAAGGTTAAAAAATTTTCTTGCTTTTTTTTCCAAGTCCTCATCTTAGCTCATTCATATTGAAATAATAACACAAGAAGTAGAATCTTGGTATGTCACCTTCTTTACATTAGATGAATGTTTCACCATTTTCAGCAATCTCACAATTGTGACAATGACTGCAATGTTACTAACAACTTTTTTCTCATTTTTACTTGCGTAGTGCACAAACGTTGAAATACAAGAGCTACACAAAACGTAGAAACGTCTTACTTTATCGAATTTGTATTCAAAAAAATACGGTCTTCCCATTTATCAGTTAGTCATATGTGAAATCTTACCAGATCTTATTATACCACTGTTAATTTGGCTTTCAGAAGAAAGCCAAAGCATACATTGTCGTTTCGTGATTCAAGTCAAACAAAACGCGGCTATTACCACATTTATCAATGTACTTTGATTTCTTTTCTTTAAAGAACCTAGTGGAGTATAGGTGAGAATTTTGACCAAGAGTGTTACCGCTGTGGAAATATTTCACACTTATATAGATTGGACGAATTGGCTCCGGTAAAGTATAAATTTTTTTTACTACTATTTTAAGAACCTGAAAAAAGACTAGTTAGTCATGATATCTTTAGAAAAAAGAAAACCATCATCATCACTGCTACTTAACATAAGGTTTTGATACCAAGTCTCCAATAGGTGACCGAAATTCACATTCTAGCAGGATGATCCTCTAAGTCAGATAAATGTAAATCCTGTTTGTATTTCATATCAGGTAAAAGAGCCGTTCGTTCCATGATACTGTTGGTATTTCTACTACCAGTGACTTTCGATCTTTTTTTTATGTATATTTCTGTTAGAGTATGTAGTGGTGCAATACAAAATCCTTAAATAGTATAACTAAATAACTCATTTCAAAAATTTGACAGAAACAGAAGGAAGAACAGAACAGTGGTTTGATTGGCGCATGTTGAAAGTGTAATTACAGAGAGATATGGGTTTTTGATTACCAACTTGTCAGGTTTTCTTTTGTGAGGCGTGAGTAATGTGCCAAAAATTAGGAATAATTACTTTACTGACCTTTTGATCTCCAAACTAGTGTCTATTGGCTGATACTGCAGCAGGAAGTCTTACAATATCACAATACGTCTTGTACTTCTCTTCATCCGCCAAGTGTTCATCGTGATGTCTCACTTTATCATAACAAATAGCTTTTTGAAGCAGAAAAAGCAGTGTTTTTATGCAGGACAGAAGCCACATTATCATATAATGTGATATCCTCCGAAGGGTAGCCATGCAAAAGGAGGTTTGCCGTCGATAAGGTACTGTGGTCATACACCCACCCTGCAATATCTCGTAGACCATACAGCTCTTGTGCCTATCACCAATCAATGGCTGCAAAATTCGGCTAAATTTCATAGTTTTATAATTTTATCGGTTAGAAACGTACTGATATCTCGGAATAAACGGATGATTTCAATTCAATAACAGCAGCAGCAGCATTTCGTTCAAGTTTTGCCTATCTTTGTTGGAAAGAGAGTACCGCTGTATCTGCAGTAGTAGTATTGGGTGGTGTCACCGAAGAAACAGCAATTGCTAGTGTAGGACCGGTTTTTGGTGCAGCGATGAAGAATACAGGAATATCCGTGAGTCTCATTTGGTCATTTATGAAAGGGGGTTATTAAAATGTCATTTAACTCATTTTGTGTAGTTTATAGGCGCGATTTTGCACCACTAGATATTCCTTGTCACATTAAGTTATTGGTAAGGTGTTTAACCAAAGAAACGTTTTCAGTCGTAAAACCTTTCATCATAATTCTTTGTTTTTGGACGGTGAACAGATAATCTCCGTTTTCTATGTAAAGATGGTCTAAAACTGGTTACGAAATTATTTTAAGTGGCTGTGCTGGTTTGACATACAAGCTTTTATAGTATGAATGTTGGAAGTAGGAAAACTTTAAACATGTGCAGAAACTCTCATCGTGATGGTAGAAATGAAATTGGACAGCATGCAAGAGTTACAGCAGTTTATTTTGTAAGTGTATAAATATAGCGCTCTTTCGTTCTCTCTTATGTTAACTCGTATTTAGTGAATGTCAAGTGGGTAACCGGGGAAAACTCCAGGAAATTGTTCACACATGCCACTATAGTCCTGTAAAACGTCACTAATCTAAAACGACAGGTAATACGCTCTAATTCATGCTGTAATTTATACGTATACTAAATGATAATTTACTATGTTATAGTAAAACTAGCGTTTCTAAAGCGCAAAATGGGGGACTTCTTTGAATATGTGATTCGGTGGCCGATAGGACAGGTATTACCAAAGAAGCAAAATGGCCTTGTTTCTTGTTAGTTTCGCTTTTTGAATGGCGACGTCAATCGATGGATCTTTTAGAATTACTCTCTATAAGTAACGGTTAATGTCTGGATAGCCGCCTGTTGCTGACTGGAATAAATACTGTACTGGACGTTTCTCTATTTCGCTCAAGAAGAAAAAGATCATCCATATTTTAAAATTCAATTGGCTCTATCATGGCAACCTTAAGTCCAGATTGGCTTGACTCACTCTTTATTCATAACGACTTATGTCTGAAATCTGCGTACTGTCAATGGAATTATGTACTGTAATGGCGTTGTCTCTTATGCTCTCAAGAAAAATAATCTTTGTTTTCATTCTTTACACTTTCTCAATGGCGACATGGGGCCAGGATTTTCGGGAATCACTCTTTATACATAACATCGTGCACGTTGAAGGATGCTTGTTGTTGACTACTGGAGAGTGTGATACCATTGCGTTATCTGTTGTTCGCTTAAGAAAAAATTATTTTTGCTTCATTTCCGTAATTACGACATCAGGAAATGACTCCGCTGGAATCACTCCCTAAAAGAAACGGGTTATGTCTGGTGGCCTGCTTGCCACGAGCTGAAGGTTGCACTGCACAGCTGGTATTTCTTATGCGCTCAAGAAAAAAACGATCTTGTTTTTTCATTTGCTTTCTTAATGTTGACCTCAAATCAGGTCCCATTGGGAATCACGCCTCATAAGTCTGGAATTTGTTTTATTACTGATTAAAGTTTGTACTGCACTGTAGGAACTCTGTATAAATTCAAAAAAAAATAACTGTTTTTATATTTCTTTCGCTTTCTTAAAGTCGACATCAAGTCAAGCATGAGCGGTTATCACTCTTTACGAATAACCGCAAATGTGTGGAAGCTTGCTTCCTCCCGAATGGAGTGTGCTCCGCAGTTGCCGTGTCTATTATGCGCTCAAGAGGAACATATTCACTTTTTCTTGATTCATTCGGTTTTTTCTCGGCGATATTAAGTCTACGTTTTACTGGTATTATTTTTCAAGATATGCTTAATTAATGTTTCTAAATGATATTGTTTTTGTTATGTTTATATTAATTAGGTGGAAGAACTTTTTTTCAAATTGGTGCGATGAAATTGGATCATCAAAAGCTGGCGCTGTCGTTTGGGAAGTAAACAAGATATATACTTCTAATGGTCGAAGGGGCAATGTTTAGTTTCATAATTTATAACCGTTTGCTTATGTCAAATATAAGAATTTAACTAGACTGCATTTTGATTCATAAGTTCGTTTACGGAGATGAATACACTTCATTACTTCGTACCTATAGAAAGCACACAACGTCTAAAGCATTACGAAGAAAAAACAAGATGTAACAACTAATTTAGTATATTGATTTCGTGTATTCTTTTTATTTGGGGACAGTCGGTGGTAGGGTAATATTCTGAAAAAAACGTTTGTACTGGTATGCTTGAAACTAACTTGAAAAAATTATGGAACAAGAAAAAAAAGAGGTAATGATTTATCCTCTGTTTGATCGGATTTCCTGCTCATGTGTCGTATTTAATTTGTGTGGAATCTCGAATGTGTGGCATGCAGCCTGCGACAAGTATATAATAATTCGGAACAATTTTTGTTTTACATCAGTGTTAAAGATAATAGCCGAAACATGCCTGAAAATAGTGGATCCTGGTTTTTGAGAGTGTTCTAAAGGAAACATTTGGTGGAGGAGATTCTAGTAACAGCCAGAAAAAAGTAATGTTGATTGCTGTTGGTATTTAGCGGTTTGCTGACCCGATTATTTATTTTATTAAGACTTTAGATAAGATGTTGTTTGTGATTTAATGGCGACGAATGTTATTATTGTGCATGTTCTCGGTATATATATTTGGCTGTGATGTTTGAGGAATTATTGTATTGTGATGACGTACGCTGCCGCTTCATACTTATCTGCGAATATTGGTTGATATTTAGTTGATTCTATGGACTGCCCGGATGTGTCTATTGAAACAGTGAAGCCATGTGGATCTTTATTCTCACAAGTTTCCGAACAAAAATAAAGCTACCGGCATACAGAAAAAAAATTATTTCCTAAAGTTCTCGTAATTATATTAGCTTTGTAAGAATCTACATCAAATAACATAAATCATGAATAGGATCCTTCAATTATATTGAGGCACCTATAGCAAGATCCTAAAAGGTAGATCATCAATGCCAGTATATCAATGATAAAATTGGAAGTTTAATTAGACTTTATAATTTCTACATGCTGGGTTATATCTAACACAAAAACACATTAATTATGCTGGTAAGACAGTTGGATATTCCTGCTTGGGTCCTTCAGGGTGTTGTTTATGCGATTTGCAATCATTAAAATATGTGGTTTGAAGTTCTACGCCCATGTTTTCAGAAGGCGTGTGTTGTTGAACACAAGTTTAAACCCACAAACGGATAATATAAACGTCAGAGGATTAAACTGATATTCTTAAGTGATATTGAAGTACATAAATTATCATTATCGCGGCCAAAACATAAAAAGTCACCATAAGTATCCTTACTAAACAACAAGGATCTTCGAAGCAGATATTAAGTGAAGTGTACATCGTCGATAGAGTTAGTATTGAAAATTCGGATAAATGTTTTTTGAATAAAAAACGCTATATATATTACATTTATTCATATCAAAACCCTTAAAATATGAAAAAGTGCTTTTAATGTGCTTATGGAACCGGTCGCAAATAATAATTTCTGAACCAATAATACAAAACGTTATGGCTTAAAATCATGGAATACTAGCAAATAAACTTTCATGATGGAGTTCACAATTCCTATGTATCGAGTATGTTTTAGGATCTTAATTGATCCATAAATGGTAGATATGCGTATTGGACTCCATATCAATAGATTATTTTTGACTATAGATGTAAAATGTTTTTCAACTATATACAAGAATACAGATTCATTGCGTGATTGGTTAATTATAGACTGCCAATATGTTCATTCTTAATTAGTAGAATTTGTTTGCATTATGGGTTTTTTGATCAGTATAATTCGGTAGTGGAAGTCCCCCTTCCATCCAAATTTCCTGTCCCCATTCGAGGTAAAACAACCCGCACCAGTCGTAGCAGTTTAATCCACGACATTTTTGTGACTGGATTTTCGCTCAGCCAGTGACTGCATTCTAGCTGTTTTATAAGGGTCGGACCTCATCCGTTTTTCTAAAAATAAGACGAGGTCCGACGGTAGTAATACGGGATATGTGACAAAAAATCTGATTTCCGACGCTGATAAAACGTGATATCTGAAAAAAATGGATGAGATCCGACCCTAACCATAACGCTTGTCCAAGACAAAACATAGTTCCTACGGACACCCCGCCTTCTCTATCGTTATATGGACGATGCTGAGCCAAAAATATTTTAAGACAGCCTAGATTATATAGGGTACTAACTTTAAATCAGGATATTTACGCAAATGCTTATCCCTTGCACTGAATTTTTTTTCAAAACATACTGGCATTGTTGTATAATTAAAGGTTTTATGAAATCTATCAAATAATATGGCTAAATCTACATCTGGAATGACCTTTCTGTGGAAACACAACCCCGCACGACTTCGTTACAATACTCGCTCAGCTGTTATATTACACAGGCAAATGTAATATTAATCAAATGACCATAAAACCACGCAATAGAAAAAGGTTTTTTTTTCTTTCTATTTTCTTGCTTTTTTTTGTTTCTTTTTTTGCACTTTTTTTTTCTCTATTTTTTTCATTTTTTATTTATCATTTTAGAGTTCTTTTCTATCGTTTTCTATCTTTAAACTTAATTTATATGACCAGTTTACAGTAGTTGCTCGATTTAAGGGTATTCGATTTAAGGGTATTTTCTATTTGAGGGTGGATTTTGGAAAAACACCTTTCGTTCCCAGCATTAACACCACTAAACCACTATTCTATTTAAGGGTGAGATTTCAATTCCCCATACACTTAAATCGAACGATTTGAAAGTGTATTTTTGACTTTTTTCTAACTTTTTGATCAAATTTATTGAATGTCCGAATGACAATAAATATTTCGCAGTAATGATCATATTTCACGGTTAAAAATGGCGTAGTGACTTCTATTTAAAATAGCCACGCTTTTCAATTTAAGGGTATTTTTATTTAAGGGTCAGATTTCCGAAATTTTTGGTCTTCCTTAAATCGAGCGACTACTGTAGTAGTGTTGAAGAACGTGATTCTTTTTATTTCATTTCCGGCATAGCACATAACCTCTGGTATAATAGATTTTCTTTTCATGGACCGCCTAAGTTTCAATTGCATATAATCAGAAAAAATGTCTC